TTCAAATATACAGTACATTGGTTAGACATTTATATAGTTTATAAAATGATCCCCCTAATTGCTCTTTCTCTTCTCTGGCTCTACACATAGCCATTACAATAATGCTGACTGCATTCCCTATGCCGTGCTCCTCATCCCCATGACCATCTATCAACTACTAATTTGTACTTCTTTAATCCTTCACCCCTTTCTCCCAGCCCTGCCCCCCCACAATGTCATCCCCTCTGGCCATCACTAGATTGTATTCTATATTCGTGAGTCTGTTTTTGATTAGTTTGTTCTTTTTGTTCCTTAGATTCTGCATGTAAGTGAAATCATATGGTATTTATTTTTCTCTGTCTGACTTATTTCACTCAGTATAATAACCTTTAGGTCCATCCATGCCATTGCAAATGGTAGGAATGCATTGTTAATGGCTGAGTAATATTCCATTGTATATATGAACCATAACTTCTTTATCCAACTGTCTATTTAGGGACATTTTGTTTTTTTCCTTATCTTGGCTATTGTAAATTGTGCTGCCATGAACAAAGGGATGCGTAGATCTTTACGAATTATTAGTTTTTTGGTTTTTTTTTTTTTGGATAAGAACCCAGAAGTGTAATTGCTGGGTCAAAAGGTATATCCACTTTTAAGTTTTTTGAGAAACCTCCATACTGTTTTCCATAGTGGCTGTACCAATTTGTAATCCCACCAACAGTGTATGAGGGTTCCCTTTTCTGCACATCCTTGTCAAACACTTGTTGTTCTTTGATCTATTGATGATAACAATTCTGACAGTTGTGAGGTGATAGCTCATTGTGGTTTTAATTTGAATTTCTTTGATGATTATTGACCTTGAGCATCTTTTCATACGTCTATTGGCCATCTGTATTTCCTCTTTGGAGAAATATCTGTTTGGATCTTCTGCCCATTTTTTAATTGGATCATTTGTTTTTTTGTTGTTGAGTTGTATGAGTTTTTTATATATTTTGGATTTTAACCTCTTATCAGATGTATCATAAGTGAATATCTTCTTCCATTCAGTCAGTTGTCTTTTCGTTTTGTTGATGGTTTCTTCTGCTGTGCAAAAACTTTTTAGTTTGATACAGTCCCATTTGTTTATTTTTTCTTTTGTTTCCCTTGCCCAAGGAGATATGTCCAAAAATAAATTACTAGTAGCAATATCAGAGAGATTACTGCCTATGTTTTCTTCTAGAAGTTTTACATTTAAGTCTTTAAACCATTTTTAGTCTATTCTTGTATAAGGTGTAAGAAGGTGGTCCAGTTTCTTTTCTTTTTGCATATATGCATGTGTTTCTTTTGATGATTGTTTATTTTGAAGCATCACGAACTAACTTGATCTGATGGATTTTTGTGGAGAAACTTAAAAAGGAGTCTGTAACAGAAACATTGTGGTGAGTTACACTGTACACTCAAGCATAAGGAACAGCTGTCTGCAGTCAGCCCGACTTGGCGTGGATTGCCTCTGTTTTTTTTCATCTAGTTAGTGCTTTTCTCAATAAGCACTCTTGTGGCTGAGTTAGGGAGCAAGCTGGTTTGGGGGAGGAAATCCATGGGTCTAGTCATTTTCCTTGGTGGTAAGCTTTTTATGGGTGCCTGATTGATCTGCCTGGGGATTTTTCTAGTGCCAGTGAGTAGGAAGTGTGTGATACAAGATGCCAAGAGCCCACAAGAGAATAGCTCATAGATGGGCTCTCCAAAGAGATTTATTTCATTTATAGGCCTATTTTTTCCTATTATGATACATGAGTTTTTTCAATGATGGATATGATGCTTATTTGAGAAGAAACTGTGAAGAGTGTTAACAGTATAAATGTATAGCTTAAACGTATAAATTTTTTTCAAGGTTTCCCCTAAGCTTCATACCTCAGATAGCTAACTTCCATGATGCTAGTATATAATATGAGGCTAACAACATATGCTAAATATCTGCAAGCCAGATCAGTCTTTTTTCTATGTTCTCATGGAAATCAAGGGAATCCATCCCTACTGCAGGTTAGGATGGTTGGTATAAGACTGGGAGAAGTATGGTAAGACAAATTCTGGTAGCATTAAAATGTTTACATGTTAAAATACTCAGTTCCAACATTCAATTCTATTTAGGCAAATGCTGAGTTAGGCCTTTTCTGGTTCTCAGCCTCTATAACTATCTTCTCTCTGTAGTTCCAGCTATTTAACTTTAGCTTGCAGGATCAGCATCATCTTAACCTCTAAAAGAATCTTAAGGGTAGGAAGAAGAACCTAAAGAACTGTAGTCCAGCACTCTGAAACTTAGCATCAAGCCTTATCCTGACCTAAAGCCTTATCTTTATAATTAGGTTAGTGTCTTATCCCATAGACCCACTTCCTGCATTTTGTTCCCACCCCAAGCTTGTGTCTTTTAGCAAATTGAAAATGCAAGACAAATATAACTTTTTAAATTTCTGATAGATTTATGTCACATTTTGTATGTTGTCATGTTTGTAGATATTTGTACCATTCATATTTTTTTGACTACTACATACCTACTGGATGATTTTTTTTTCACAAATTTAAAAGAATATTTTACGATTTAGCACTGAATTTGAATGTGCCTAATTTTAAGTTTGCAAAATGTGCCTTGCTGACTTATGTCTTTACTTTCTCCAAACAGCTATTTACTAATATTGACCATTTTTAATTGTTTTCAGAACTGTAAATGCTTGTATATCTAAAATTGGTTGTAATATGGCTGTCCCAGAAATGTAAAACATAGTGCTCTTTCTGCCCATTTGTTCACTCATTTATTCATTCATTCATTCAGTAACTCTGACCTTTCTGACTCTCCATTTACTCAGCTCAAATGGTTGTGAAGATTACTAACAGTATAGGTAAGATACTTTCAGAAATTAGAAGCTGAGAAGTAAAAAAACACACAAAAACATTTGCTATTATAATTATATACAGTTTAGCCTGGAAATTAGTACTCTATTCTGCCTTCGGACCTACTGTAGGACATGCTGTCCTTTGTTCTTTCACTTGTAGCAGAATTCAGAGTTTTTCTAACAGGTACAAATCCCTATTCCGACACTGTATGGAAATATTAGACTTGAGCTCCACTCTTATTTCTCTGTTATTTTTTGTATTCTCTAAACTGTAAATACATGCTATCATCCTCTAGCATGATACGTGGCACCTGATAGGACCCAGTAAGAATTTCATTGTGAGTGGGAGTGTAGATTGATACAATATTTTTGGAGGGTAATTAGGCAGTATCTTTCAAAAATTTGTTTGCATATCCTTCATCCCAGCCATTTTGCTTCTAGGAATTTAGATATATTTAAGGATGTTTACATTGCATCGTGTTTGTAACAAAGAACCAAAAAACTGAAAATGGTACTTATAATCAGTGGAATACTATTCAGCTATTAAAAATAATAGAATGGATGTACACATAAATCGGGAAAATCTGTATCCAAGATATATTGTAGCATATGTATAATATACTGCTTTTGTATGAAATAGAGAATACATGTGTATGTACAAATATTTATATACAATATAGAATAAGTGTGAATATAAGCCCTTGGAAATATCTAGAATAACCACACAAGAAACTGTAGGAATAGGTGTTAACTTTTCATTCCATGTCCTGGAGTATTTGAATTCTGAAGGGTATGAACGTGAACTCATCGACCTGCGCTTCCTGCTGCGGGCTAAGGAAGGCACTGTAGCCACCACAGTCCTATTTATTAATCAAGCTTCTCAGCCAGCCGGTCTGATGACGTCATCATGATTTTTTTTTGAGCGGTGGCGCATGTGCAGTGGCAAAGGAGCCTGGGAACTGCGTGGGTTGCTGCCTAGGTGCTTCCTGTCTGCTGTCTTGTTTTGGCACCGAGGGAGTTGTTCTGGCGTCTTTGGTGCTCTTGGCATTTGGTGGGCGGCATCTTGGGGCCCACATGAGCCAATGGCATCGTGCCCGCGGTGGTTGGGGCCAGGGTCGCGTCTTTTCTGGACGTTCTTCATCCAGGAGGAAGGGCGGAAACCACATCCCGGAAAGGTAATATGCCTCGGCCCCTGGACATAGCCCTTCGAGCTCGTAGCTCTTGGGCCCGGGCTTCATCTCTTGTGGTCTGCCTGCTACTGCCGCGCGCTTGGCCCGTCCGTCCCTTGCTAGCAGGTACTGACCCACTCGCCACTCCGCCCACAGTAGCTGAAACGGACCGTCTGTGATTTTCCGGTTTCTCTTATCCTTTTAAAAGAGAGGCTCTGGTCATTGCCTCTCTGGTGAAATGCAGAGGGACTGTTTTTTGAGGTGGGACCGTCAGTGTTGGGGATACCCTTGAATTGCCAAAATGGAGTCCCCCCGAATTCTTGAAGCTGTGTTGTTTTGGCACTGAAAATGTGAGTAATAACTAAGTTTGAGTGAAAAAACCCACCAGTACCGCCGAACTTCTTACCGAAAAAGTTGGTTTGTATTGGTTCCAGGAATCACAAGGGGCGTACTGTTGCTTCCTAACAGGTCTTATTTGAAATACCTATTTTTATAGGTTCAAATGACTAACTTTGAGGTTGCTCATATGTTCAGTGAACTCTTCTTTATTCCTTGAGACCTTTCTTCATCTCATACCTCATTAAGTCTCCTTCATTTACTCTCCTGAAAATCTTTTCAATCTTTCACCTCCTTTCTGTCAGCATCTTAATACAGACGTTGCCTGATTTATTGCCGTGAGGTCCTAAGTAGTGTACCTATATTTGCTCATTTCCTTCCAATCCATTCTTCACATAAGAAATCTTTGTAATAGGCAGATTGGACCATTGCTCATAAAGGTCGCTCAAAAACATTGTTTCAAGGATAAAAACAAACTCTTTACCGTGACCTTTAAGACTGTGTGGTCTAGAATCCTTTCTGCTTCTCCAGTCCCAACTTGTGCCAGTTTGCCCTCACTTTCTATGCTTCGGATATGCTGAGTTAACTTTAGTTCGTTCTAACTTATCCGACAGAAGTCAGCTCAAATATTACTTTTCACTGTGACAACTAGAATTAGGTGAAACTTACAGTCCCTTTTCTATCTGGTTTTCTTTTAAAACGTCAACTTGAATTTCCCTACTGATCGAATTTGATGGAATCAGTTGTATGAGTACTAAAACTTAAGTGAGGGAATTGAATTTAAACTATTTCAGTCAACATGTGGGTATTAATGACACGTTCATATTTAGGACCAAGCTTGATTTTATCAGGGATACAGAAGTTCGGCTATCTCTGGTTTTAGATATGCCTTATTTGTTAAGACCTTTGCCCTGTTTTGTTGCCTTATGTCTGTTTTTAAGATGGGGAAACAGGAACAAAGGAAGTACAGATTGTTAACTAGGTGGGGTTGAATTAATGGAGCAGCAAAATGCAGAGAAAAGAAGGGACCTACTGTGTGAGCTGTGATTTCCCTTTTCAGGGAGTCTTCAGTCTGTGCAGGGAGACAGGCCAACATAAAATTTGGCTAACAAAAAATGTATTAATAGGTGGAAGGACTATCTCCCAGTTGGACAGCGGATGCCTGGGACTCGTTTTATTGCTTTCAAAGTTCCTTTAAAAAAGGTAAGCAAAAGTTAATTCAATATTCCTTCAGAAATCTAAATTAACCATGTAAAACACTGATTCTCATTCCCTTTACACTCCATTTTCTTTCTTTATAGCAAATACTTTGTAATACACCCTTTACTATCCTGAAATGAAATTCGTAGATAAATACGACCTACTTCCATACTTAGTTTTAAAGAAAAAAAATCAGTGTAAGTATAATATGAAGACTAAATAAAAAATTTATAATAAAAATTTATATATTTTATGTTTCAGTATGTAAATGTTTAGGCATGACTATACTGGAAATAAAGAAGTAGTTACTTGCACCAGGAATGCAAAAACTGCAAATAAAGACTGATCTAAATGGGTTATATTACTTTAGTGGTAGGAGTTTCCATGGCAGTGAACAGCTCTGAGTAGACTGCCAAATAAAACAAAGTACAGTCTTCATTTGTTTAGTAAGATGATTGCTATCCTGGAAAATCCGATGTACATTAAAACTGTGTAAAAACCCTTTGTTTCAGTTGTGAAATGGAGTTAGTTTCTAAGGCTTAGATAATTATGAACAGTTTTTCACCTATGTGAATGTTGAGTAGGACATTCAAGAGTCATTCAGGTATGAGACACATTTGTAGGACTTCTGAATTTGGCCAGATGTCTAGCGTCTATGACCCCAACCTCTAAGTGTCAGTAAGACCCCTTTGCTTGTATTGTCATAACCAAAAACAAACAAACAAACAAAAAACCCCTGAATCAGCAAGGTCAAAATTTCAGCATGAAAACTCTGAAAATTGTGTTTTTGTTTAAACTAAGAAAGGAATAAGTGGGGAAAGCATTTGACCAATATAAATAAGATGAGAAGAGATTCTATGTCTCAAACTGCCCAGCATAGCATGGATTAGCATCAGGAAAAGCACACTTTGAATTTATTGGGAATTTATTTAATTTGTGACTTAGGTCAGGGTTCCTTTTTCACTTATATGTCAATTCTGCATCTCTGGTCTTAAAAATTTGTCATTTCATAAAGATACACACATGGTTCTCATTCACATCCACCAACACCAAGCATACTGTTTGACATATAATAAATACTTATCAAGTCTTTGTTGAATGAATGAATGGATTCTTACCCACATTTGCAGTTGCTGTGACATTTCTCCTTTATTCCTCCTCTTCTCTATGCAGTTGTCCTAACTCCTCAAGTCCCTACTCCATGGCCTCTAAAAGTGGATTCTTGAGATTTTACAAGAGTCCCTGCTTAGCTCATGCCTGAAAGTACATCAGCAAGAGAGAAAACAGACTTCAGTTTCCTTTCTTCCACACAGCCACAAATCTTTACTGTATGATTTCATAAAAAGCCTCTTCTAGCTCTGTATACTCAAGTGATTTTATTCAGTGTTGGGCTTGTTTAAGGTACCATAATGAGAATGACAAAGCTGTATAACCTCTCCCAGTGCAGTCCCTATTCATGCAGTATACTTACACTCATGGCAGTGAAGTGTGGCATTGGTTTCCTGTGTGTTTATGGAAGTCACTCAAGGAAAAGCATTCTCAATACTTAACAGTCACTACTCCAGCACACTGGAATATAAAATAGAATATGTTAAATGTCAAATAAATGCCATGGCAAGAAATACCTCGGAATTCTCAGGAGTGGGAAATAATAACAGGGTTAATCAAGGAAGGCTTCCTAAAAGGTTGTGACTTTTTTAGTTATCTAAAGTTAGTTGTTTAGATAGCTAGAGGTGATAATTGACCCATCAGCTCCAAGTCTTAAAGAAACTGACTGGAAAGATTGTATGTCTTGTAATTAATTTACTCTTCAAAACTTACAATATTATGCAAAAGACTCAACATCATAAATCTGTTAAATCTTCGTAAGTTATAAATTTAACAGCATCTGAAATAGGCTGATTCTAAAACTCATATAGAAAAATAAACATAAATAGCCAGGAAAATTCTGAAAAAGAATAATGGTGGAAGGGAGTCATCTAGCCCTACCAGATATGAAGCCATATTAGGGCAGTGAAAGTGTTGCTATAAGGGTAAATACATGTCATACATAAATTGGTCAAAAGTTTTGGAATTACAGCATTAAGAGTGACTCAATGTAAAGTATGGACTTTAATTGATAATGATGCGCCAGTGTTGGTTCATTGATTCTAACAAATGTACCACACTGATATGGAATGTTGATGGTGAGATAGGCTGTGTGGGGTGAAGGAGAGAGGGTACAAGTGGAAACTTCCTGTACTTCCTGCTCAGTTTTGCTATGAACCTAAATGTGCTCTAAAAACTAGTCTGTTAAAAAAAAAAAAAACTTGCTGGCACTTGAATAACCAATGAGATCAATGGGACAGAATACATAAATAAGTCAAATACGTTAAGAATATTTAACAGTAAGGCCCATTCTTCGTATGTATAGACATTCAAGGTGTATTTATAAGTGCCTATATATAGGCACTCCACTTGGAGCTGAAGATACAGTGGTGGACAAAATAGATGTGGTCCCTGCCTTCTTGGAGTTACAGTCTGGTTAGGGGACCAATATGAAACAAACACAAACATATAGATGTGAGCTTATTTTCTTCCCTCCACTCTGGAAGAGAGGATTGTAATATAACTTGTAAATTTCAGAAACGTGAAAACATTCCTTTGAATCTCATTGTATGTTAGCATCACAAGGCTTGAATAAATGAATAATAAAGGATTTTAAGCACATCTTTGCTATTTCTTATTATTTCTTCTCTCTGACAGAGTTTTGAAGAGAATCTTGCTCCAGAAGAACGTTTTTCTCCCTTGGATCTTTTTGACAAAATTCAAGAACAGAATGAAGAACTTGGACTGATTATTGACTTAACATATACTCACCGCTATTATAAACCAGAGGTAAATAGAAACCTTAATTGAAAAGGACTTTCTGTTTGATACTATAATAATTCATAGTAATTAGTAATTATCACCTTATGCTAAGGCGAATCCAGGTTTTTAGTGGGTAATACTTCAAAAAGGGAATCAAGTGGTTTCTTTTGTTACACCTTCCTTTTTCTTTTCTTTTTTCCTTTTTCAGACCTTTCCCTTTCCTTTTCCCTTTCCCTTTCCCTTCCTTTTCCTTTCCTTTCCTTCCTTCCTTTCTTTTAAATTTATTTAAATTAGTTTCGAGTATACAGTACATTGGTTAGACGTCTGTATAATTCATAAAACGATCCCCACAGTTGCTCCCTCCCTCCCCTGGCCCTCCACCTAGCCATCATATTAATGCTAACTGCATTCCCTATGCCATGTTCTCCATCCCCATGACCAACTATCAACTACTAATTTGTACATTTTTAACCCTTCACCCCATTCTCCCAGCCCTCCAACCCCCCTCCCCTCTGTCTGTCACCCAATTGTTCTCTATAT